AACCCATCAAAGTGTGAAATCATGTCATCCAGCCTACGAATCATATTGCCAGGAGCCCCAGTGATCGCTCCCACCAACAGTGTGCTGCTAGGGGCACCTGAGCTCGAGCGCCATTGAGGTAATCCTCGAAGAAATGCTGAACGACCTGAGGAGGATGGAGGGAAGAATAGGGGCTTTGGACGCCCACGATGCTTTGTACCTTTTCACAATGTGCCTGGCTTGGCCCAGACTTACCTATTTCCTAAGTTGTGGTCCCGTCCTTCGACAGCTCAAAATTAACGGAATATGACTCACTCCTAAAGTCAATAACTATGAAAGTGTTAAACCTCTCCCTGCATGATGAACAGTGGACCCAAACAACGCTCCCAGTTAGACTCGGGGGTATAAGTATTCGCAAGGCGACACAGTTAGCATTGCCGGCATTCTTATCCTCGACCAGTGCAACAAGTGAATTAATGAATGAAATACTACCAGAATACCTAAGAGACTCCATTGGGATTCATGATCCCAAATTTGCTGAAGGGGCTGGTCAGTGGGACACTCTTGCCAACTCACACCCTCCACCAACTTTTCCAAACGACTGCAAACAGGTCAAATAGGATAGCCCCATAGTGGAGAACATTGCCACAACATTATTGGAGGCAGCTTCTAGGAAGGACAGAGCGCGTCTTCTAGCTGTGCAAGCTCCCCATGCCGGGGACTTCCTGCTGGCAGTCTCTAATTCCGTCTTGGACATCTGCCTGGACCATGGAACGATTAGTATTGGTGTTGCCCTGTGCCTTGCCGCCCATATCTTTGCCGAACACCGGTGTATTTGCGGCCATGCACGGGCAGACCAATACGGCAGCCATGGTCTCATCTGTCGTAAGACACAGGGAAAGATTGCCAGACATGAAGCAGTCAATGACATCATCAAGAGAAGTTTGGCTACAGCTGGGTGTCCAGCACAAAGGGAACCTCAGTTGTGCAGACCTAACAACATCCAAAACGCCCAGATGGCGTCACCCTGCAGCCATGGAGGGAAGGTAAACAGGTCGTATGGGACTACACGTGTGCGTCTACATTGGCTGATGCCTATCTACGTCACAGCTCGGCGGAGGGAGGTGGGACAGCCACCTTCAGGGAGACCCAGAAAACCAACAAGTACAGAGACCTAGAGACCTAGAACGTTGTTTCAGGTTCGTGCTGATAGGCTCTGAGAGACTGGACGCCTTTTTCAGTTCCATCACTTGTTCCTTCACTGCTGTTTTCCTCCTGACGTGGCTGTGAAGCAGTTTTTGTTGGGTCTTGGCTTTACTCGCAATGTCATTTTCATGTTGTGTGTCTGCTTCTCTCCTCACTCTGAGGTACTCATTTCTGGCCCCTCTCGTATCTCTCCCTGCCCTCTTGTGTTCTGTTATTCCTGTAGTTTCTCCATGTTCTTGTACTCAATTGCTTTGCTACCTTACATTCCTGATTGAACCTGATGGAGTCTTCTCTTGCTTTTCATTTTTCTGCTTTTGGGCCGGGATAAGCCTGTCTGCGGCTTCCTGGCACTTCTGGATGACATAGTCCATCATATCCTGCACAGTCTTCCCGGAGTTCTGTTCCCATAGTATTCCCATTAGGAAATTCCTCATCTCGTCATATTTTCCTCTTCGGTAATTTAGTTTTTCCCTTCCAATCCCATCCTTGGATAGGTTATCCCTACCTCTACCAGATACTCAAATGTCAATACACTGTAGTCACTCATTCCCATTGGGGGCTTCAAATTTGACTTCCCTTATTTCTGACTCATTTAAGGTGAATATCAGGTCGAGTTCAGTTGGTTTGACATTGCTTTTCATTCATGTGGGTTCCCAGAAATGTTGGCTCAGAACGTTCCTTGTTGCCACTTCCAAGAGTTTAGCTCTCCATGTATCTGCACCTCCCTCTGGGTCTCCATTCTCCCAGTCTATCTTTGCATGGTTGAATTCGCCCACGATTAAGAGACTGGATCTATTCCTGCAGGCAACTGAAGCTGCTCTCTCTATTATATTATTGGTTGCCGTATTATTCCTATCGAACTCCTGTCTGGCTCTTCTGTCATTAAGTGGAGGATTGTAAATGACTGCCACTATTATCTTATGTTCACCCATAGTCATAGTTCCTGTTATGTAATCTCTGACTCCTTCACAGCCCGGAATTTCCATCTCTTCAAAACTCCAGTCCTTCCTTATCAGCAGGGCCACTCCTCTTCCTCTCCCTTCCCTCTCAACTACTCCCTGTCGACTACTCTGACACTGAAAAAATTCTTTCTAACGTATCTATGGCTCATTTGGACACACAATTTCCAACCCTGTTCCCTAGTGCGTGTGCCCCTTGTGTTAAATAGTCTGTCTTTATCTACCCTATCAGTTCCTCTGAGATTCTTGTATGTGGTGATCATGTCCCCTCTAACTCTTCTGTCTCCCAGTGACGTGAGGTTTAATTCCCATAGTCTCTCCTCGTAGCTCATACCCCTCAGCTCGAGTACTAGTCTGGTGGCAAACCTTAGAACCTTTTCCAGTTTAGTCTTATGCTTGACTTGATATGGACTCCATGCTGGAGCTGCATACTCCAGGACTCCATACTCCAGGATAAGAGGGAACCGGTCGGCCGAGCGGACAGCACGCTGGACTTGTGATCCTGTTGTCCTGGGTTCGATCCCAGGCGCCGGCGAGAAACAATGGGCAGAGTTTCTTTCACCCTATGCCCCTGTTACCTAGCAGTAAAATAGGTACCTGGGTGTCAGTCAGCTGTCACGGGCTGCTTCCTGGGGGTGGAGGCCTAGTCGAGGACCAGGTCGCGGGGACACTAAAGCCCCGAAATCATCTCAAGACAACCTCAAGATAAGATAACCCAAATGATACCTAGTATCTGGCCTCCTATACTCCCTACACCTATCTTCATTACATTACATTCGCTTGGGTTAAACTCTAACAACCATTTGTTCGACCATTCCTGCAGCTTCTCCAGGTCTTCTTGAAGCCTCAAGCTGTCCTCCTCTGTCTTAATCCTTCTCATAATTTTGGCGTCGTCAGCAAACATTGAGAGGAATGAGTCTATACCCTTTGGGAGCTCATCTACGTATATCAGAAACAGCTTAAGTCCGAGTACAGAACCCTGTGGGACTCCACTGGTGACTTCACGCCAATCTGAGGTCTTACCCCTCACCGTAACTCTCTGCTTCCTATTGCTTAGGTACTCCCTTATCCACTCGAGCGCCCTGTGTGTGTGTGTGTGTGTGTGTGTGTGTGTGTGTGTGTGTGTGTGTGTGTGTGTGTGTGTGTGGATACGTGGCTACCTTATGTAGCTTCCGGGGATCAACGGCCCCGCGGCCCGGTCTCAGACCTGGCGTCCCGGTTGGTCGCCTAATTTTCTTCTGTCTTATCTACTGCTTATTTCTCTCCATTCTCTCTCTCGCTCGATTTTTTTTTTTTAAATTTAAGACTAGAGCTCATAATTGCTGCCAAATGACGTACCTAGTGAAACTGCAAGCTAGAGCTGTTATCCTTCTCAGATCAGTTTAAACCTACTCCTAGAGACCCATGTATTTCATGAGCCTATTATAACCATCAATGGGAATAAACTTTATTCATTAACAACATTAAGCAACAATCATATAAGGAACAGGATGAGCCTGAAGCACACTGTGTGCCAGAGTCTTCATGTGAACAGTTGACCTGATCTCCCACGTCCCAACCTGTTGAAGGAACAAGTTCCAGATGCGAGTCAGCCCAGGAGTGAATGATCGCTGATGGAGTGATGTTCTTGAGAAAGGCACTTCCAGCATGAGACTATTGAAGGTTGAGAACCTAGTGCTACGGGTGGCAACGACTGGTAGTCCACAGAGTTGGGACAGGTGCGGAACTTTGAGGATGTTGGCCTTGTACATAACAGTAAGACCACCAATGTCACGACGGTGTTGCAGGCTCTGATGTTAAGACCGTTCCCACCAGACTTGGTCAAGACTAGAGATAATCCTTCTTGCCCGTCTCTCCACTTTGTCTAACAGTCTGATGAATGAAGGGGGGGGGGAGGAGAGGCGATCCAGGAGAGTGCTGCACACTCTAGATGAGAGCGAACTTGTGCTTCATATAAAGTTTTGCAGCCCTTGCTGTCAAGAAGGTGTAAAATGCCCCGCAGGGCTGTTAGTTTCCTGGCTGGTTTTTGGGGTTAGGTTAAGCACGTGGCTCTTATTGTCACTGAAGAGTCGAACGTCATTGCCAAAATGTAAATTTCATCTGTAAACTCTAGGGTTTTGCCACCCATTTGCAAGCCTGTCGGATTTGCCATGTGCAGTCTAGTTATCATCATCGCTTGTGTCTCCTCAGCCACAAATGTGACCTGCCATCTCCTACCCCTCAGGTAAACATCACTGAAAGTTGGTGATTGACGAGTTTTGCAGCAGTTGACATTTCTTCCTTTCTGTATGTAAAGGTTAGAGTGCAGTCATCAGCATAAACTTGAGCTTCAAGAATGAGTTGAAGTAGACATACCACAGCAGAGGGTCAAGCACACTACCCTGTGGAACGCTGGCATCAATTGAGTGACCTTCGGATTCTGATCCATTGAGGACTACTCTTAGAGTCCGTTCTTGAAGGTATTTCTCTCTCTCTCTCTCTCTCTCTCTCTCTCTCTCTCTCTCTCTCTCTCTCTCTCTCTCTCTCTCTCTCTCTCTCTCTCTCTCTCTCTCTCTCTCTCTCTCACACACATCCCCAGGAAGCAGCCCCGTAGCTGCAGTCTACCTACCAGGTACCTACGTACTACTAGGTGAAAAGAGCATTAAGGTGAAGGAAACTCAGACCATTTATTTCTACCTCGATAATGAATCGAACCCGGGCCCTCAGGACTACGACCCTAGAGCGTTGTCCACAAGGCTGCCCGCGCGTCTGTGTGTGTGTAGTCACATAATTGTGCTTGCGAGGGTTGAGCTTTGGCTCTTTGGTCCCGCCTCTCAACCGTATTATCTAACCGTAAGTGTATTCTCTCTTGTACAG